GTATTCCAACTAAAACTCAAACCTCTGGCTGCTATGCACAGCAACTTATACCCTTACCTTGACGTGTTCTCGGCGATCTTTTGTCCGCGAGAGGAAATCTGTATGGCCGATAAGCAACTCTCCATGGTCACTGACATCACCAGAACACAGAAACCGGCAGATTTGGTTTCCATCGAGGGAGAGCATCATTTTTTAAAGAGGTAAATGAAGCGTTAAATGCAAATGGATGGGAAAAGTCTGCCACGCAGGCTAGGGCTACCAGGCTAGGATCCAGGCTACCAGGCTAGGATCCAGGCTACCAGTGCCGGATCCAGACCTTGAGATAAGGGGGGGGGGGGTGATCGTTGAATTTGCCTGATGAGTGTGGTCCTACAATTTCGGACCATACGAAACAGTACTGTCGCAATAAACGATCAATGATTACTCCTGAAGCCTGACCTCCTGTGATTATTAATAGTCAATGCTCTTCAATTAAATGAATTGAGCGCTCTACGAAATACGTTCTACCCAGAATAAAGTATCTTAAATATAAATATTTAGTAAAATCCAACTAGTGGTCTATTATCAATGCTGCGTTCTAACCTTGGGCCTCATGGGCTATTGACTAAGAGCCCATTCCGGCTCGAGGAATAATTGTTAAATATATTTTTAATGGAATGAATTTTTTATAAAAGAAATTTAGGGTCATTTTTTAATCGAAAGGAATTGTAAATAGTGCTTTTACTGAATAGTTTCTTAAGTGGAATTTAATCGTAAATAGGATTTTATAGTTAGCTTTGTTATCTATAAAAGAATTTGGGTTATAATAATAATAATAATAATAATAACAATAATAATAATAATAATAATAATAATAAGAAGAAGAACATTTTTATAGCGCCTACCCAGTAATAGATCTAGGCGCTTAACAAAGTGAAAATTGATTAAAATAAATTTAAATTTAAATAAAACACATATAAAATCAAATAAATCTTCCTAATGACTAAAGTAAAAGTTCTTAAAAAGGTAGGTTTTAAGGTTTTTGCAATCCACAAGTGTCTTATTGGAGAAACCGATTTCAACTTTAATTTACTAAAACTCAAGCTGTTCATTCATATAATACAAGACGCTCTAATGATATTCGCTTACCCCTACCCAGAACAAACTGGGGTAAACAAACTTTTATTTTTCACCCCGCGAAAGACTGGAACAGCCTTCCAAATGATTTAAAAGAGTGTAACATTTTATCTATTTTTAAATCCAAGTTAAAAACTTTTTTAAAAGATCTCAGTTAATTTTAAACCTTGATATTTTTTGTATGATCGATTTTAAGATTTTAAATTTTTAAATTTGTTTTACTTGTAAACATAATAATTAATTAATTAGTTAGATTAATGCATGAGGGCCCCACTGAAAACCGCCTTGGCGAGTTGGGCTCCCTCTATAAATATTATTATTATTATTATTATTATTATTATTATTATTATTATTGCTTAAGACTTAGATTCTCGCATGAGCGTATGTCGTCAGGTAGTTTGTTCCAAAGTTCGGGGGCTGAGACAGAGAATGCTCTAGATCCATAGGTCTTAAGGTTAAAGTTAACAGCATTCAGACTGAGCGTAAAGGATGACCAGAGCGATCTAGAAGGTAAGTAGCGGGTGATAAGGTCTTGAATGTAGGTTGGAGATTGCTGATGCAGAGCTTTGAAGGTAAGTAGTAGAATCTTGAATTTAATTCGTTCAGAAACAGGTAGCCAGTGAAGATTGAGTGGGATGGGAGTGATGTGATGACACTTCCTAGACCGTGTAATCAGTCTGGCAGCTGCATTCTGAACCGATTGAAGCTTTTTGATGACGTTTTTAGGGACATTTTATATTAAAGAATTGCAGTGATCGACTTTGGAAGTTTCAAAGGCGTGAATAAGAATCTCAGTAGTTTGCGTTGATAAGTATTTCCTTATGCGCGAAATGGTACAAAGATGATAAAATGCAGATGTACAAACATTGTTTACATGGGGAAGCATTGACATAGTGGTATCAAATTGAAGATAGCGCCAATATTTCTTGCATGTGGAGAGGGCTTGATCATGTCAGTTCCAAAGCGAAGAGGGGGTAGGGATTGTCGTGGATTATATTTGAGAATAAGTAGAGAAGCTGGGTCTTGTCTTTGTTTAGTTTTAGTCTGTTGAAAAACATCCACTTATTAATGTCGGACAGGCATTCCTCAATCAAAGTGATACTGTTGGTTAATTCCATGTCGTTGTTTGTAGAGGTAGAAATATACAATTAAGTGTCATCAGCGTAAAAGTGAAATTGCATCTCATGGAATCGTAGAATGTCGGCCAGTGGCGCTGTGTAGAGTACATACAGAATCGGTCCAAGGACAGAAACTTGAGGAACATCGCACTTGAGCTCGCGAGACTGTGATCTACACCCGTCGATTAAGTCAAATTGCGAGCGATTAGTAAGGTAGGAGCGAAACCATTCAAGAGCTGTGCCAGAGATAGAGTATTTAGAGTGCAAGGGCGGTTTCACAACTGTGGAAAGGTTTATAAGCAGATTGTAGCGACCCATTTAGCTGGTTAGCTTCTAAATATTTTTGAAGACGTACTGCGACGACCTTTTCAATAATTTTTGAGATCACCTTGAGGTTCGAAATAGGTCTATAGTTTGCAAGAACTTCATGATCTAAGTTGGCTTTCTTAAGTGGTGGAGATAGAGCAGCCGTTTTCAAAGAAGAGGGAAAATGACGGGATTCCACTGACTAGTTGACAATCTTCAGGATAATTGGTAAAAGTAACAGGATAATACTAGGTAAAAGAAACTCTATCTGATGTTTAGGTAATAGGGAATGATCGAGGGAGACTGTAAAAGAGAGGCAGAGAGGATGAAATGTATAAATTGACCACTTTCAGACTAACAACTCAGCGAGTTTGACTTGAGGAGAATCTGAACTTTAATAATTATTTTAATTTCCTTTTTTCACCATTTAAAAACAACGTTTGCAGCGTTTTGAAGGTTTAGGTCAAGTAAAAAATTCAAGTCTTGTCTGGCAGTACAACCGGGAATTGATATCCTTTCAAGATACCTTTAGTACCTTCCCGGGACAAATAAATAAAACCGCTATCATTTATGAAAAAGTGCAACATCTTTTAGACTTACACGTAGGATTAAACTACTAATTCTAATTCTCTCTAATATCCGTTTGTGATTTAGAGGTTAAAAATATTCCTGGAGCAGTTATAGTAAATGAACATGCGTTGGAAAGTGAACAGTGGAGTAATTACACTTCGGCAAGGATCCTTCGCAAATACTGAAACGTCAAGTCTTTCCTATCATCGGGACCATTATTACAAAGGTTAGCAGCGCAACATTTGGGAGAACTATTTTTTGTCGTAGTTGTAGGGTGCGCTTCTGCCACTTTATACAATCTAATTGCCACGTGGCCCTGAGGCCTCGCTTTCATGCTTACTTCGTAAGTGTGTATACCATTATTGCCGATGTTTTATTGTCTTGAGACAGCAACTGGGGGGCGTGACGTGACGGTATTTTCTCACTCAATCTTACAAAATTCTGATGAAAGGCTTAAGATGAAAATTGCCGCTGCTTTTTAACCATGGTGCAAGGAGCAAAACAAAGAGCCTCACGCTTTTGCCATCTCCTTAATACTCAGATTCCTTTAACATTTACAAAAGCATAGGATTTAATGTGTGAAACGTTATACAGTAAATTCGAACGAGAACACGGTTTTATCTGGCGCCATTGTTTCGATGCGCGAGTCCCTTTCCAGTGAATCCTCCAAAAGGGTGTAAATTCTTATTAGTTTTCCAAGGCTTCGCTTGATTCACACACCAAACTTTTCATGTGCCGAGCCCAGTGGTAAAGTTTTCATACGAAATTTGGCAAATTTACATTATGTTTATTTTTTTTTGGCTTTAAATTCATTTCAGGTTTAGATTATTGATAAATAAGCATACTTTTATCTGGAGTGTTAACTAAGGCCCAAATAGACCTTTTTACCGATACGGCTGCCATATTGAATTTATTAAATTTAAGGAGTATTATTGGATGCCCAGGGGGGCACTCGCACAGTATTTACGCGCGTTTCTCGAGCAAAACGAGAACTTTAATGTATATTTCTCGGGAAAAAGGCGATCATTATTACATCCAAACACGTCACAAAGATCTTTTTTTCGTATAACAATCTTTTTCTAGAATAATTGGCCCGAAAAGCGCACGTAAATATTGATATCGATGCGAGTATATCGGATCGTGCTCATGCCCCCTGAGCATCCCATAATACTCGTTAAATACAATTAATTCAATCTGGCTGCCGTATCGGTAAAAAGGTCTATTCGAATAACTTTGGCTTATGAAGAGTATTGCGTCTGAAATGGGCCTTTGAGATTCCATATCAAGTCGTACAATGAAAGAGTTCATATCCGTCTTTAAAACAAAAAGAAAAAGAATATTTAAAATGTCTAATGTTGATAGGTCATTTCCGAGTCACTTTACTAAACCCCAACTTTCAAAATCAAGCCAAGTGCAAAATTCTTTCAACTTGAAATAAGTTCTTTTAAGTGAAAATAGAAAATTTTATTCATATCAAAGGGTATCCACTTACCCTAGTCTTAAAAAAACAAGGCTTCGAACCCTAACTGGCAAATGGGCTCATGACAGATTCCAACATTTAAAAATAGCACTTGCACTTTGATAGATCGCCGCTATTACTCTATGTCTGTTTTCCTGTGACAATGGTATGAAAAATTAGTCAAGCAGCGTTTATCAATTTATTTATTTTTTTCCAAGAAGATATACGATCAACTTTTTATTCGCCCACAAAAGATATTCAAGCCTTATAGTCAATTGACTGCGAAAATTCTCGACAGAACAAAAAATATGGCATTATGATTCAGAAATGTTCCATATTTGTAAAACAGTTAATGTTTCTTAGTAACATAGTAGACTGGAACCAATGCATATGGTAGTATTTGTTATATTATGCTCATCTCTGAGAACATTTTACTCTTTAATAACCTCTTTTTTCTTGTTTCGATGGTGAAGTTTCAAGAAGTACAGATACCCCACAGCATCACCAGCCGTGAGCAAATCGCACCTGTCTGGGTGCCATGCCAACCCCCAAATTCCAGAGGCCGCGTAGAACACTTGAACCTGATGACGAGTATTGCAATCCCAAATGCGAATGGTTTGATCTAAGGCCCCACTCGCAAGGAGCTTGTCATCAGGCGAAAAACTGACCATCCTTATCTCAGACGCGTGCCCTGCTAATGCACAGAGCTCCTGCCAAGAGCTGGTGTCCCACAAGCGAACCAACTCGTCCTTTGAACACGTGGCTAACAGCTTCTCGTTGTGAGAAAACGTGGCACAGGTCACCCAGTCAGGTTGTGTCACTGTAGTCACGTGCTCGAGGCTGACGCTGTTCCATATTCTAGCTGAGTTGTCTATGGAACTGGTCAAGATGAAATTCCCTAAAGGCGAGAATTCACTGTACTGGCAGAAACGGTCGTGACCTCCCAAAATCGTAATCTTGCTTTGCGTTTCTAAATCCCAAACAATGGCGCCATTGGTAAACTCACCCACAGAGATCAACCGCTTGTCATCCAAAGAAAATCGTAGGCACCAAGGCAGCATGGACTCGCCGCAGTGCAGCACGATGTTGTCCTTACCAGTTTCTCGTGACCAAATACGAATTTTGAGCTCGTCCCCACCGCTGGCCACCTCGGTTGAGTCCCTTGAAAACGTACAGGCCCGCACTCCACAAGAAAACGTTCTCTTCTGTTCGTGCCCCTCATAGATCAGTGAAACCTCGTTGGTCTCCATGTTCCACACGCAAACCTGCAGAGTAAAGTCAACGCATAAGAAAAGTAACGAAGTTCTGAGTAGTCCCTTTGTCAAAGAGGCTTAAGAAGCGCGAGTCTAAGGGCTATTTAGAAAGATTATTATAGTCGAAAATAGCAGGCCAGATCGGTGCACTCACAACGAGGTTTATAGCGGAGCTCTGGCGCGCGAAGCGCGCACAGCACCATGGGTAAAAAAAATGTGGTAAACTACCCATCCGGGAAAATTTGGTAATCACGTGAACGTACACCGGCCGACCGACCGCCCGACCGTCCGTCCGCACCACAGGCATACCCATGTAAAATAATTCAATCAACAGGTATGGCAACTCAAATGCAACTCAAGGTTTTATTTGGAAAGAAATCGCATGGCCGCTCGCACCTTTAGAAAGAAAAAACAACAACGAAGTAGTGTCTTTTTGGACGTTATTTTTTATGTTTACACTCACGTGGATAACAGAGAAAGAGCTAGAGCGAGTGATTGAAAACAAAAGAAACGAATTTTGTAGGAAGAAAAACATGAAAATTCAAAGCGGCTGTGAGACAATAGGGCCATTTATACGAGGAAAAATAAGACGCGTCTTAAATAAGACGCGAACTTTCCGTATAAACGGCACATTTCGTCTAAAATAAGACGCGGCTTAGCTAAGACGCGTCTTATTATAGATAAGACATGCTCGTATAAATGGTACAGTTCGCGTCTTATGTAAGACGCGTCTTATTTTCCCTCGTATAAATGGCCCTAATGAGAAATGCTCGCGGCCAGCAAGGTGAAAATGAGCGGCAGTGAAAAATATAAGCGAACATGAACACAGAAGACAAAATATTGGGTTAAACACATACATGTACGACAATTCCTCCATAAAAATAGTGTGTAACTAGGAATTTTGATGTTTTAGTCCTCAAAAACAGCGTTGCAGTTGTGCAAAACAACGGCGAAGAAAGACAAAAAGCGTGTTGCACGTGCAAATTTGTTTTTTTGCTAATTAGAAAAAAAGTGTGCTGCTCGTGCAATTTGTTTTTCTCCTAATTAGATCTATTGATCTTGATGCCATTTTCATTTGCCCTCCCCGTTTAGCATTACACGATTTAATTTTTTGGTTGTTTGCAAGTATTATTAATCAGAGCTTCGCTTTTAGCCCTGGCTAAATCTATATATTACTATTAATTAGGACTGTCCATCCAAATTAGTATATTCCTGAATGGCATAAATGGAATTGAAACTTTTCCTTTTTAGCGGGAAACAGTCTGCAATACCCAGCAACTATAAAGATTTCGTGACGACCTGGACTATGGAAAGTAACCTTTGTGTTGTCGGCCTGAAACTGCTATAGCTTGAGGTCATCATGGGTCGTTTAAGGAATATTATCAGAATATCAGTTGCATTTGAACCGCTTATCCCACTTCCGACTCGACGTCTGTAAGCTATAGCTAGACACAGTCTACCATCGCAGATATACTAAGTATGATCTATTCTTCTCAGACCAAGCCTGAATCACTAGAAAGATAATTAACTATACTCAGGGATAAGCTAAATGTTTAACTAAATTCCTCATCTAGAGCTGCAGTCAATAGATTTTTCCAGTTCCAACCTTGTTAATTCAAACTGACAGTTCAAAACGGTCAATAAGATAGTAAACCGAAACTCAAGATAAAATGTTAATCCTATAGGATAACGCCCTTACAGGCGCTCTATTGATTTAGGGCGTAATGAGTTTGCTATTGGGTTTATAACAACGACTACTCTAGAATGCAGTCAGAAAGATTGATAATGCTTTACTAAATTACCCTCTAGTATAGATGAATTTGGAAAGAATTGAGTTACTTTTACTCAAGAGTGACGTTGCCGTGACAACTACTAACTCTTACTTTAAAGTCATCAGAGGCAGAAGCCAACCATTTCCCGTCATCAGAGTACGCGACGCTCCAACAGCGTTCAGAATGGAAACGTGCCTCCCGTAACTTTTCCGCTGCTGTTGCGTCCCAGACACGAACAGTTTTGTCGCGAGCCGCCGACGCTAGCCGAGTTCCATCGCCATTAAACGCGACATCCAGCACCCAGTCGGAGTGGCCGCCCAGCAAAGCTAGGGTCCTGGAACTGCTGCTGACGCTTTCATCACTTCTGTCATCAAATGTTGCATCAAACAGAGTGACAGTATGATGGGCCGAAGATCCTGCAGCTAATCGCGTGCCGTGATCAGTTTGGACGAAAGCGATCGTCGAGGCGTCATTTGGGAGATTAAAAGTACAAATTCTCATCCCTGTCGTTACATCCCACAAGATGACGTCACTGTCGACGCACGCGGAAGCGAGGTACTTTCCATCAGGAGAGAAGCATACCGACCAAACAAGGGATTTGTAGTCGAGTTCTTCATGGCCCTCTAAAGCGTCTTTAATGGGGAAATTTGGGTTATCGTCTCGCTGGTGTCCTTGCAAGGTCCGTTTGATGGACATGTTACTGAGGTCCCATATGAAGAGCTCCAGTTGCTCTCCACATGAAGCAACAACTGACTCATCCAGCGGAGACCAGGCGCACGACATTGGGAAGCTTTTGTGGCCCAGGAGCGTTCCTAGGTTCTCTCCAGTGTTCACATCCCATATTTTCAGGCTCTTGTCTTTGGAAGCAGACAGCAACTTATCTCCGTCTTTGCAAAAGGCAATGCATGTCACTCGATCTTCATGTCCCTGGATGATCCTTAAAACATTCACCAGAAGTTAATAAGTACTTTTGTATAACTTTAGTTTGAAGTATTCTGCCACATTCACAAAATGTTATTTGGAAGAAATTATACGCAAACAGCTCAAGTTTTTCAAACTGCGTTTCAATTCATTATGAACACATTCTGCCCCCCGTTTTTTGAAAGCGACAGCAGCGAAGCTCAAAGAAATCTTTGTTTAATGAGTGCCGTTTTATTTTTGCATCCCTAACTTTCGCCTTCTAAATATTTTTTGTTTAATATCCAACATTCGACAAAATATTTCCTCACAGTGTCAAACACCTCGAGGTTTCGAGTCAACAAATTTTTCGAAACTGATTTCACTATAAAAATGAACGTCAAAAAGAACGACCTTTTAGTTTCATAGCGTTAACTTTCTTTTATCATTCACGCTGTGATTTTCTTGTAATAGTTCTGTGCAAATATTTTAGAGTTTTAAGTCAGTATCTCACTGAGCCTTTTTACAATTTTGTATAAGCACTTGCTAATTTTTTACTTCTGAACTTGAAAATGACCATAGAACTGTCGAAACGTCGTTGTTTTTAACCTTAATTCTTATAGTGAAACCTCGAGGTCAAAATAGTCCACTGACTTTCTTCTCAGTTTTTGACCTTGTGAATCACTGACGCATTTTTTACTGCGTGACTCGGTTCTCTAATCTCTGCTAGTCTTCTTCGGTGTCCTATGTGAGACAGATAAATCATCAAAACTTTGGCGCTAGAAGGTGCATTAAATCTATTTTCTTTTGTGTTTAAAATTTTAAGACTATTATAATAATAGTCAACAGTGAGTTAATGCCTATATGAGGGAAGCCAGAAAAGGTAGAAAACTGACTGATTTGCATAATACTAACTTGAAACACTCATTGGCTGGAAATCTCCATAATCGAATGGTTTTATCAGCAGAAGCAGACGCCATCACGTTGCCATCTGGTGACAGTCTCACACATGTTACAGGTCCTCGATGATCCTCAAGCTGGGCGTGCAACTCGCCTGTTTGACTGTCCCAAACACGGATGGTCCCATCGGCTGATCCAGACAACAACGTCCTGTTGTCTTTTGCAAAGCACGTTGAAAGAACGCTTTTTGAGTGACCACTGAGTTCAAGCTCAAAGGCCTCTGGAACTTGAGGCTTGTTTATCCACTCGACCCACCCCTCTGGTGTGGGGATGTTGTCAGGGTCTGGCTGGTCAAACGTTTGGCGCATGCGCTGGGCTTGTTGTGCAACCCATTGGTGTTGGGGATATGTTGCAGCTTGTTGGTACGTCAGGATTGGTGTTCTACTCAAAATGTGGATTTCACTGCGGAGAAATCCCAAGATGTCCTGAAGATCTTCAACGATCTGTAAACAAAAGCGTTTAGAAGTATGCATAAGATCCTTGAAAAACAAAGCGCTGCACAAAAACCCAATTTGTCAAATGTCTTACTATAACGGAGCTATCTTTTCTACGGCTCTTTCGCAAGGATACGACAACCAATAGAGGCAGTTGAATTGAGATTCCAACGTGATACCGTTAATCAGACAACACACAGAAGCTGATCCGTACAACGATGGAGCGCTAATAGAACAGTTTCTCAAACTAACAAAGCCAACAATACTTTGGATCGAAACTCACAAACTATGATGAAGGTCCGTAATGTAACAATCACAAAACAACAGACTACAGTGTTAATTTGCTAATTAACAACTTTTATGTTGCAGAAGTAAACAAGTTGTATTATGAGCTACGTGAAAATGGTAGTCGTAAGAGGTTCTACTCAGTACTTTAACACCATCTCCTGATGAATATAACCACTACGCGGTCTAAAAGTCGCGATAAATAGCAAAGTGACTATCAACTATCGATGGTGAAAATATTCTCAAAGTTTATCTAATCTCACCTCATTGTCAACGTATTCATCAACCGCACAACTCACAGCTCTGGTGGTCTCTGCCAGAAGTTCATATCCCATTCCTGCCATGCACTTAGCTTGAACAAATCTCAAATCTCCAAGAGTACTTCGCAGCCTTTCAAAGTCACGCGACTCAAGCAAAGCGACTGGTAGTCTGTCTAGTTTTCTCAGGTTAAGAGCTACCGCGGAGTATGCATGAGGCTGGGCAGGGATTTTACGCTCGTTTCCATATTTCTTGTGGTACTCCCCAGAAAAGTAGTCAGCGATGCTGTTGTGTGTTTCTTTGTGACGAAACCCTTTTAAATACTTCTCTCTTGCGACCTCTATAAATTGTCTGCAAACAGACCAATTAAAAAGCTTTCAACAGGTGCAAGGGAGGATTTCTTTGAGAAAGTTAATTGGATCAGTTTGCTCAAACTTTTAAAACCTCGTTTGTCTATTTAACTTGGAAGAATTTGTAGCCCTAAAACTCGGTATTTCTGAAAAATTACGTTTTAGTTGATCAACCTTATGGCCCCAGATTTGGCCCTGACATTTGACAGAAGGTAATTACAATTTTGAAATTGTTTCCAACACCGATGGAAGTTCAAAACGTAGGTCGTAAAGGGGCATTATTCGTTTCAGTAGTCCTAGTACACAAGACACGGCAATACCTGTGAAATAGTGCCAGCAGTGACACTCCAAAGGCTCCCCTTTCTACTAAGAAAGGACCCAGGTCGTGTTTCAGACGAGCCAGTAGTAGGGGTGGTAAGCGGCGCTTCGGTGGCTCGTGCCAAACCAACACGTCCTTGAGAAGTTCTTCGTCACAGCTCAGTATGTTGAGAACATCGTCTGAATTCATCCCATCCGTCGCGGCAGCAAGCAGACCTAGGACTCTTGACACAAGCATTTTGCCGTGATACTTTTCGAGGTCTTCATATAGAGAGTATATCATGCCAATAACCTCAGCCTCAAGAACGATATCAGCGGTATCTCTGGAATTAAAACAAATGCAATTTAAGCTGCCAGCAGAGTATTGAAGGTTATTCCTTATTTGCGCTTGTATTGCCGAGTATTGCATTTCTTCATTTCCTTGCATTGATTGGTTAAAACGAATCGTAATGCCACTTTGAATTAATTAGGAATAAAATACCGAACAAGTCATGATTTGCTGGCAGGTATTTATCTGTTCCTTTTTGGAGATCTGATTAGTGCAGTAATTTGCGATAGCCTTTAAACCTGAGAGCAAGTGCCAATTCTAATTTGAATTTGTGTTTTTATCTGATTGCAAGAGTAAAGGGAAAAAACAAGTTACACCTGATAATTAAAGTATTTTGATGATCCCTTCACTTCTTACCAATTACGTTTAGCGCAAGTTTTACTTAACAATCTCCTTTATGAATAGCTAGTTTAAATACAAGAGCCAAAGTGTTGCAGTAATGCGCTGTATAAGCAGGATTTTGTCACTTTTATAACCGGAGGTCTGTTCTTTGCTCAGATGTTGGTTGTAGAACTAGGACGAGGATGAAGGAGAACAAAATTAAAGAGGAATTATACGGCTACGCGTTAAAATAGCACGGCCCCTCCCCTCAAACAAAATCGGGCATTCCGTTTAAGGGAGGGGGCGGCTGTACACAGGGTACAATATTACTGATAGCTGTAACTTGATCGAGAAGCTCTTACTTGTATGAAGGCCACGATCGACACTTGTTAAAGAGGAGGTGTAAATACAGAGGAAGTGGACATTTGTCGAAGGCTTCTAAGACAAACGCCCGCTGTTTGAGGGTCAGCGTCCTGTTGACTGCTTGAAGCCATGCGTCTAGAATGACAGGTCCATCATGCTTGTCGAGACGTGCCACCTAGATTCACAATGATTATAATACAATCTGTATTTCATGGATTATAAAGTTGTCCCGTGTACAACAAATATCAGTTTATTGGAAACTATTTTTTCCCACAATCTGTAGTCTTATAGGAGTTTGCTGAGTGAGCGTCTCATCAAGAACAGAGACAAAGAGAGGTGGAAAAATGTAACGACAAAACAACTGACGTATCATGTCAAGGATTGAAAGATTGCAATTGCTTTAAACAAGCTTATGAATAGCAAATTATGTCAACCGGGCTGACAAATGAATTGTGTATTCCCACACAACGTCTTACTGATAAAGAAATAAAATAAAAAAAACCTCGATCATTTGCATAATTCACTTGAAACAACGTTTTACCTTTCACCACAGTCGTAACAACTGATTTTACCCACTTTCATTTACCTGTAAAAACTGTCCAGCTGGGATTCCAAACGCCTTTAATCGCTGCATACAGCCACCCTCCTCTGGCAGAGTAGATATTATCATATGCACATGCGCAGGTAACTTACGCGGAAGCCATTCTAAGAAGCGCCTCGCGCCGTCCTCATCAGTTAACTGATCTAAAGAATCGATCACTATGCACAGCGGTCTTTCTTCCGTCGCATGTTTCAGAAATTTAGGGAAGGCCTCACACAAGGTTTTGTAATCTTCTGGGACTTGTTCACTGATGCTGTAAACGAGTTTTATTTGTTTACAGAAGCTCTCCGTGAGAGCTCTACCTGAAAGAGTTTAAGGATTCATAATCAGTTAATTCTTTAAGACTTAATACACAATAACGTTCAAGCTGTAGGATCTAGCAGCTGCATATTTTTATCGAGCCTCAGTTCGCTTTTAGCCATCCTTATTTATGTGGCTTCGTGAGAGGTTAGCAGGAGACATTGGACTCTTCCCCCTCGTGATCAGGAGTAGAGTTCCTTGGTGTTACAGAAACTTCTGTTAGCTAGCGATTTTGTGGTGTGGGTATTGTTGATTTTGTATTACGTACACGGGTAATTGCATGCCTCCTAACAACAAGAAATAGCCTGTTCACAGATACTCTATTTTCTCTTCAAAGTCCGTTGAGCGCGCATGATAGAATTGGATTGTAATTGTATTGTAATTTGTTTACCCACGAAGCACTTAGGAGTTCTTATGAACTCCTTGAAACCTGTCCGTGCGTTCCAGATCGAATTGGTAGTTTGGAGGTGTTGTTTCTGAGGAGAGGGGAAAACCGGAGTACCCGGAGAAAAACCTCCCGGAGCAAGGGAGAGAACCAACAACAAACTCAACCCACATATAGCATCGAGGCCCCGGCATTTAAACCCGGGCCACATTACCGGGAGGCGAGTGCGGGGGATTTATTGACCGCCAGCGAAAGAGGGTAGGGGTGGGGAAGATGAATAGAGAATGGAAAATAGGTATATAATGACTATCTTACCAGTAGATGAGTCTGGTGTTGTTCCACAAAACCGATACATGACTGCGAGATTTCTCTCTTTGCTCTTTGTTTGTGTTTCCATGACAATCTTGGACATCAGCGACGTCTTTCCAACTCCTGACTCACCATAGATCACTAAGGGCATCATGGGATCAGGGCCGCTAAGGTATTTGTCAACGGTCTGTAAAATATCAGCGCGACCCTGAAACGAGTGCGTATGATCACGACAGAAGAGTGCGTGACGCGTGATCTCTTCCATGACTGGATTTGAAGGACCGAGATTTTGCAGCACTTCATGAATGCGTGACGTTAAGAGTACTCTTGTGCGGTTGCACATTTCTATAGAGATTGAAATTTAAAAAGACATCTTTGAATTAACGCTTTTGGTCTTTCGACGCACTCATGATATATTTTTAAGGTGTGTTGAGAGCCGTGTACTTGTATGTGAAGCGCCAAAGGGTATAGTTTTGGGGCATTATTAGTGTAAAATTGACTAAAGAATTTGGCCATTTGGAGTGAACTGGATAAGGTTTTGTGCTATTTTTTTTTTGGTCAAAGTAGTAGAAATCTCATATCTTGATTTTGTTTGAAATAGGAAAAAGATTCAAGGAAGCTAAAAGTACACCCCAAACTAGATTCATCCCCAACCCTGTGGTTAGAGCGAGTATTTCAAGCCTCGTATAATTTACCGTGACAAAAGTGCAGTGCCACGGAAGAAGAACTGAAACTTCTTCCGGTGAATTGAACTACTGTTCAATATGACACTCGAACAATTCTAGGGGTGGACACATACTACAAGTTTAAATTGCACGCAATATTGCACCGTGGTCCTTAATGGTTTTCCTTACAGTCAGAGCTTCAATATTGCCCGCAATATTGCACCATGGTCGGCCTTTCTGATCCTTAATGGTATTTCTTACTGTTAGAGCTGCTGACCTTTGATGTAATCTCCATGTTCTCCTTTATGAAGTCCTTCGTGATGCCATCGTAAGTTAGTAAACTTAAGTACCCGTCCAACTTCCAGCGAAGATGGAATGCGACGTTCTTTCAGTTCCGAAAGCAGCTCAAGGCATTCTGGATCTTTTCCTCCAACCTCCTAGGAAGAATAAAGTCAGCGACTATCTTAGTCTATGTTATTTAACCTTCGCGTCCGAACTGTAGCAATTCCTCATTAAAAAATGCCCTACTACAGTTGAAAAAATAGGAATAGGACGCTTTTTAAACATTCTTTGCTGTCGCACGACTACGACGGGAAACGTTCTAATTTCACGTTTTTATGGAGTATGTAAACACAGACAACGATTTTCTTTATATGTTATATTACCTACAGATCTTTAAACTTTAACTCCAAGATGGAAAACAAGATTCATATTCAACGAGATAGAATGAGAGCGATGAACAGTTTTAGACAGCGTGAATGCACTTTTTTTTTAAGTGACGTTCTCGCTGAGCTACCTTACTAATATCCAGGGTCGATGACAAAATTTCACGCAAAATTAAATTGAATATCCAACTCATGAGCGCTTAATAACGGAAGAAGGGTATATGACAGGCCTGCTGAAATAGGCAAATTTTGATATATTGAAATTCACTACACTTGGCTCCAATGCTTGGGAAATAAAACTAAAAAATTTTAGTCTTGAGGTTCAGGAACGAATGATACATTCATTGTTTCATTCTCTCAAGTCTCCTCGCTAAGTATGAATTTTGATATATCGAAATTGATCTATGATCCTACCTGTATGTTAACGAAATTTCTCGCCTCTTTATCCTCTTCATTAATTTGATCAAACCTTCGATCAATAACAAGGGAACGTTGACTTGCCTCGGGATCTGTAACCACTCCCCTTTCCACTTCCAGTTGAGTCACGGAAACTGTGTATTTTTGCTTCTCTTCTTCCTTCAGACCAGCCTTCTCTGCCTCCAGATCCTCTTCTCGACTTTGCCCCAGTCCGCCCAAGCATTTGACATCTCCTCTTTATTTGCTGAGTGGATGGGAAACTGCGTCGAGATTGGCTGCAACAAATAACAAGGCGGAACCGAGTTGTCGTCACGAAGATACCAACGAGTAATCAGCTCGCGGTCTGATTGGTCAATCAGCTGAAAAAGCGCTTCAAATTCGTCAGCTTCGACTGACGGGGGAAGTGGTCTCCAGCCATATTTGTCGCCTATGAGGGCAATAAAAGCGATACCAATTGATGTCTCCTGGCAACGTTTGATTTCTTCCATGCAGATATTTACAACACGGTGATCATCCACGGACTCTTGACGAACCCCTGGTAGATGAAAGAAAAAAAAACTGGAATAGCGGATGTGATTCAGTGAACTTAATACGCAACTGGACGGGAGAGGAAAGAGAACGGCAAACCTTGTGTGACAAGCCTGACAATACTTTTTTTTGAAATAACTTTACGCCAAACTTCACTTTCCTTTAAACAGATGTTTCTGAAAAGGCCAAGAAACATTAATTTTAAGCGAAGATCACGACATAACACGCAGGTAATAGCCCTGTCACGTTTGTCACACACATCGTCAAGCGTTTTGCCGTGACTATAAAACGGTGTTTCAGGGGCTACTTCCGTAACGACAGATTAATTCTTGAGACTGTGTTACCGAAACTGAAGATTGGAAACCACTTGTTTCCGGTGCTTTTTAGCTCAGAGTTTTAAAATTAATTTTCAAAGGCGTTTTTTCGTAGGAGCAGAAAAACAACTGTTTTGTTCGTTTTGAGTGTTCAAATGAAAAAAACGGCCGCCGAAGAAATACTTTCCCATCCCCTCATCATCTAAATGAAAAAATAAATAATAATAATAACTAAAAGAAGAAAAGATAAGAAAATCTTATCAAGAGAAGACTTTTTTGTATGGCTGTTACTTGTTCTGTTTTTGTCAAAAAAACCTCCAACTTCAGGCAATTTAACGCCAAGCTATCAATTATTGCTCCACTGCTCACTAATTTCGCTTTCAAAACCTTCAAGAAAAACTACTTTTCTTAACAAAATAAAATATATACTAAAGCTACAAGAGATACTGTTCTGTCTTACCCCATCTCAGGTCCACTACTTCAAAGGCAATACCATGTTGCTGACAAAGCTCCCGAATTGGTTCAAACACTTCCTCCATGAGTTCATTTCTCTCCACCCTTGTATCTGTAAAAGTTGAACTTAGAAAGATCCGGACAGTTTTTTGCACTAGTCTTGGATCCATGATATCGGGGAGAAGCTCTGTAGGGCTTGGGGTATGCTGGGCCTGTCGGAGAAAAAAATTACCAGAAAAAATATGCCGTAAAAATGCCATAGCGGTTTAGCTCAGAATGAAAGAAAAGGAGGCTTTGGTAGTGAATTAAAAAAGGAATTATAGCAATATCTATTTCATCAAAAGCGAAATATTTTGAAAGTATTTATTTCGTTTTATAAAGGTCTAAAATTACAGGAAATGTTCCGGTGATCTGATACACTTTTTGTTTCCGTTTGGTAACTCTACCTCTTCCAGCTGACCTCACGGCTGCAGCTTACTACTTTTAGCCAAGAGTCATTATGGGATTATGGCTCTTGTTTTAGGAAAAAACGTAGCCACTTTCATGTGCCAATGTGAATGGTCAAAACTAAAAGCCGGTTGTTCAGATCAGGGCATGGACGACGTAAAATTTTCGTTTTCCTTGCTTTTTTGTCCTGGATAGATATAGCAAGGATTAGACATGGAGCCTGTCAAAGTGGAGTTGGGTATTGTAATTGCTATTGTTGTAGTAAGATAATCGAAAATCATTTCTGTCGATTAATTAGCATATCATGGTCCATTGGGTATGATGTCAATAGCCGGCTATTTCTTATTTTAGGCTAGTATACTTTGACTCCAAGTTAAGTTTATTCCTTAAGCAAGATTCAAAGGTTACTTCCTATTTTCAATCAACCAAAAGCGCAAGAATCTCGCACAATTTTCCACAATTTTCGCGAAAGTAAAGTTTACCGAAATAACGTAATGAATAATTAAATTTCAGGCCAAATTTCAGAGTTTAATTTCGGTTCAATGGGTCTACAGTGAAAAACGTCTTAGTAATTTGTATCCTAACTAAAACTCGTCCCGCGAAAAGTGACAGCTATTGCTTTTGGCTGCCATGAATAGCAACATACATCCTTACCTCAACGTCTTCATCGTGATCTTTTGTCCGCGAGAGAACATCTGTATGGCCGATAAGCAAAGCTTCTTGATCACTAGAATACAGAAACTGTAAGATTTGATTTCGATCGAGAGAAAGCATTATTTTTCAAGGAGGTGACTTAAGTGATGCAGACTTGTTTGTTGTTTCTGTCCAGTTTCTATCACGCCCGAGGGACTGGGAGGCACCTGAGTGTTACGTCACGCATCAGTCGGATCGATTTTTGTTTTTTAGCTTTCGTCGTAATTGTATTTGTTCAAACCAAATCCTCCTTCCAAACACCAAAACTGTCTTTTCTCTTATGCTTGATCAAATATTTTTCTTCAATAAGCTATTTCATAGTATGAATTCCGGGATAATTTTCTCGAAGCGTAACATTTTAATAAGGTAGATTGTTAATTTTTTTTTCAAATAAAATATCTATCTATCTTTCTCTTTTCTTTGTGTTTGATTCCGAGATTCAAAAAGTATGGTAGAGGGGATTTTTAGAGCTGCTCCCATCAGGCACACCTATGGGTGGTACTGATAAAAATCGAGTACTGTACAAGTTTGTGGGCTTTGTTTATGACTAATTTATGTGATCAAATAAAGCAAGTTTACAAAGCGTGAATCAATCCCCTGATGACTAGGTCTGATCTAAATGCTCTTCTTTCCCTCGTGAAGTTAGCGGAATAGCTGATAATCTCAGTTGAGTCTTGAGGAAGAATAATAGTGGACAAGGTTTCCCTTCGGTTAATCCTCAGTTAATTAACTAGTGAAGTTTGTTTTAAAAAGAACCATTATTGCGAGTTGCTCTTGCACGCGGTACAGTAGACGTTTTAACTCCCAGCACAAAAGATCTCTTTCTCTCAGCGAGGAAAATCATATGTCTGTAATTATCCTCTGCATAAAAAAGTACGTAAACGTATTTTTGAACCAGCTGATTAAAGATTTTTCGAGCTGCAGAGTTACACGTGCAGTCGTTCATGTTCGTAGCAGGAAGGCAAGCGTCAGTCAGGGCTGAATGAATGGTTTACAGTTAAGTTATTTTCCTCTTTAAAAGTTGATAAGTTGTTCGTTAATGTGTAGTTATTAAGGCTTACCTCTTTGCTTTTGCTTTATTCTTGGGTGTATTAGGAAATTTAAAGCTATGTTTGCTAGCTTTGACACAAGAAGAACCCATTTTATCGAGCAAAATTTATTGATTGAAACAATCCATTTGAGCCATATATTAATTCATATCAAGACCTACGTAAACGGAAAAAACCTCTAAGAACAAAAGATTCCCTATGGGAAAAGTTTTTGCTTTTGCATAAATTAATAAACTTGAGTTAATAGAATAATCAACGACAATACTCATTCACACGAGCGAGTTTTCGTAGACAATTAGGCCACCTCAGGTAAAACTTATTAGTGGAAGTGCAGTTGTAGTTAATATTTTTATCTCAGGTAATTTTTGTTTCTAGTTCTTCTTTTGGGAGGGGTGGGGGCTATGGTAATTTAAGAGTCATGAAGTTGAAACAAAAGAAAAATAAAAAAACCCGAGATAAAAAATAAAGTACAACAGAAGCAGACTTTTTTGTAGGGGAGCGACGTAAAAGGAACCTCTGTCTCCCTAAAAAGAAGGAAAACGGGATCTCGCTGCTAAAGGACAGTTCGTTTGCAGCCGCAGTTCGGGCCTGAGTAAGCTGACTGGAATAAGGGATAAAACAGGGAACGGAGAGAGGAGGGCGAACACGGGCAACGGGAAAAGGAAAAATGGAAACAAAGAAGTGGATTGGAAAATGAAGTTACTGACAGGGCTAGAATTCAAGTTAATTTTTGTTCTGTTGTTCATTTTCCCACGTGCCCGTTCCCCGTTTTCATCAGTAATTGATGTAATTGATTTAAGTGAAATATTCGCGCACACTCAGTAGTGCAACCTTACTCTGTCAAGAGGAACTAAGGGCCTGTTTACCTAGAGGTGCAGGACCCCAGGTAGGTGAGGTTATAATCTGTATTTTAATTTGATCACGTTTACATGATAGGTGAGGTGACCCGCCACATGTTACCTCACCGATCTGGGGTCCACCACCTCCATGTAAAACAGACCCTTAAGGCTACGTCCAGATCATGCAGACGAATCCAGATATTTTGGAACTTCATACATTTTTACACTAATCGGTCTTCCGTGAGGGTGTTAATGGGGTTAAGTGTTTAGTGTTATTTGCCCATAAATTTTTGGGGACGTTTGCTGTTAAATTGGCCATTTTTTAATGGTTACTGTTTCCGAATAAAATACTGTTAAGTGTTTGGAGGGTTCTTCGGACATCTTCGGCAATGGTCGGACCTCTTCGTTTGTCTTCGGGAATCTTCGACAGTCTTCGGGAATTGTCGGTAGCCTTCAGAAATCTTCTGAAATAATCTGGAATTGTCGTAAAATGGCCGAAAACCTAACCTAAGAGCCTGATTTATACATGAGCCGGACTGGCCCCGTTTGCCGCACTTTAATCTCCACACTCTAGTTAAACGCAACAAAGCTCATCGTAGTGATTGCTTGACAAGGAGATAGCCCGGGAACTTATCAAACCGACCCAGGCCAGCCCATTTCATGTAATCAGGACCTGAAAATGTCTTTATCATTCGCCAGTGTCTAGTTTTTCACTTCGTTTAGTAGCGTTTCCCTTGCCCTTATGACTGCTCTATTAATTCTATTCAATTCCTCAATATGTCGCTGTCGATAATTTCTCAGAAAACTTCTGTGTTCATCAACTATGGCTTGTAGATGGTGGATTCGTCTTCTTAAGTTTCCTTCATGCTTTTGTCTTGTTTCTTCTATTCCCTCGTCGCGAAGTCGAATCTCTGCGCTCCTCAGGGATGACGCAAGTTGTTCATACGCTTTTTTGAGCTCTGTTGTCAAATTTCCGATTTCCAGACGGTACTGAAAAGAAAGAAACAAACGAAAAACAACAATCAGATAAATTAGATTGCAAGCACTGAGGGAAGAAACGGGCACTTTCGTTTTCGCTTTCTCCGGGCCAACCCAGCCGGCCACCAAGAGTTTCCTCGCAGATTATCAATCGATCGCCAAAGAGTATATTTCAGCCGAGGAGCAGGCAAAATTAATATGCCTACTTAGGCATGTGATGCTAAGTGACCTGCTTAGTAAACAATAATTTAAAAAAGCAACGGCAACTAAAGACAACGACACAACCATAATTTATGTGTGCAGTAGGAATTCGTAAAAGTAGTTCTAGTTTTCATAGATTGGGAACGAGTCAGAGCTGTATCAAAACGAAATATACCTTCACGTTCGTCGCTGAACTTTTTCAAGGGTGATGATCCTTTATTGGGTGATGCATGGCGTATACTACGGACTCTTACCTCAGATATTGTGTCCTCCAAGTCTCTTACTCCAGATTGAAATTCAAGGCTCTCTTCTGCGAGCTGCTCAAGCGTTTCAGAGTCATCTTTGGATGGCTTAGCGTAAAGTTTTTGATTAGGAGTTGCAAAAACTGAAAAAAAAAATACACCTTTGCTTGTACTGTTGCCATTAACAAACTTACATGGTAGCTCACCTTTTTTCAGGGGTCGTGGGGGAAGGAGTGGTTTGGTGGAAAGGGCCTTTCGCCGGTCTGTAGTTTAAAGCCTTTCGTTTTACAATTACGTATTGAGGAAGTCCCCAGATGTCCCTCTTGGTATTTTACTATTATTTTATATCCGTTTGTATTTGTTTCTGTGGAACCCATTTTCAATGTGTATTCTGTCACATTTTCATCTGTCTTATGCCGCTGTTTGAAGCTAAAGGCCATATGCATGTCACTTGTCGGTCGAATTTATCTTAACAGGGCCCCATACGAGTATAAACTTTTATGAAAGAAAGTAAAAATGATTCCTGGTTCCCTCGGAATAAAATAAAAGCTTTTTTGTAAGAGGCAGGAGATTGGAAATGCTAAGCCTCGTGCTAATTTATACTTGAAACCCTCGACTACTGATAAAACGACATCGAAAATCCGCTCGTAGAAAAGGAAGACTCATGAATTTGAAAAAAAGTCATGCTCGAGCTAGTTTGGAGCCTCTAACTACGAGACAAGTGAAATGGTTAAGACCGGCTCATGATGTAATCTACTCATCAAGAATCAGGGTGAAGAATCTGAACGGTTTAAACTGAGTATTATGTATGAGAAAATACAATTACGTGGCTACTGCCGAGCCAGACTACGACGTCTCGAGTGTTCATTTGAATCTGATTTGAAGATGTATTGTTTTATATCAGTAAATTATTCAATGTTATGAGTATCTCGCAAAAACACACACACACGCCAAACAAAGAAATCCAAACATAAGTGTGCTCCACCGAAAAGAATCATCTCATAACAATAAGTTCAATTAGCAGCGTACGTTCCTTTCAACGAAGAATCTCATGCAGATCCACTAACACTCGAGGCATGGTTAGTTAAAGAGACCGTTATGACAGTGATCAGTTTGGATCTTAAATACTGATGTGGATCATTCCAATTTAACACACTTTGCTCTGAGACTTACCGTGATTCATAATCATGAAATATGAGAAAACACCAATATGAAACAAGACCATTTCTTCAGCGGGTAAACGTGGCCTTTGCGAGAGCGAATCTGAATGAAAGGATATGGCTATTTCAGTTATCACACCAGAAACATAAATGATTGCAAATGTACAAGCTACTCACTTCAAATTATGTGCTTCTTTTAACTTCCCTCTGTTTGTGTAGCACTTTTAATTATTTTTGACTTTTTCGAAAGGAAAGTGCCTGAGATGCTGTTAAACTATTATTAATCATAAAAAATAACCGGCAAACAGGTGTATGGTCTAAATACCTGTTGTCTATGCTTTCATCAGTCTTTAAGCCCGGCATTGTCACATACTGAAAAACGTATGTACGGTGCTGGTCATTGCTTTAACAGGATGCCTGGATGATTTTGTCTTGTTTTTCTGAAAAAAATCGATCGTTGAATTTCTTCTTCTTCTTCCACGTTGTAACGGATTTTTTGAAACGTTTTGAATTTGAGAGCATTTATGAGCTTTTGTTTTTTTCTACCTTTAAGTTCCGATTTTTATTACAGATCGAAGCCTTTGCTAAGCTAAATACACAATGAAGGAAAATCACAACAGCTTATGCGCGGAGTCGACGCACTCCGCAGTCTGCCCACGATATAATATGGGCGGTGTTACAGTTTCGTTTAACAATTGCGCCTGCTTCTGTGGAAATCAAACCATGGAATAAACAACTGACTAAACGTGAAAACAACCTGAAATTAACGGGTGACGAAGGACACCTCTAAAATCTTGAATCACTGAAATGTGAAATCGTTTCAATGATGAGCCTGCGGACGTCGTTTACGTCGCCCATTTTCTCTGGGTTTTTCAACGGAATTGTCTTATTTCAAGAATTGTAGAATTGTTTTTTTTTCTGTGACGACGCTGCTAGCGTCGAGCGAGCTTGAGCAGCCACAAAATGACTGAAAATAGACCAAAAGAGGCGGGTATAAAACTGAAATATTTTTAACTTACAACTCGAACACAGGATCTCTCAAGTCGCATAACAGAAATTAACCAATACAAACACTGTTAAAGAGTGTAACCATGAGATTGCTGTTTTCTCTTCTCCTACTTTCTTTCTCCTCGCTCGCGCTCGTTCTATTTTTCCTTTCCTTAGTCCTTTCAGGCTCATTGGACATAAAAACCCTTTCCTTTTGGCCCTTTCTCACTCAAATGGCTGAAATGGGTGCAACCTTTGCCAGGTTCGTTTTAAAAAGTCCGGCTAGATAAATGTATATTCACGTGTCATTTCATGCCACGGCTCTTGCATATCTAATTTTCCCGCGTTTTTTGGCTAGGAAACGTCAGCCTGTATTTTGGGTCAGCGACTTTTCATGTTATCATTAACTACCTCATATTACCAGAATGGCCGCCGAAGTGTTTCTTGAGGATTTTCTTTTAGCATTTAAAATGGCCACCAAATGAGCTTGCACCACGTCTGTGAAATGCTCTTGTAGTAGTCAACAAATTTCTCTACTTAAATGGCCATATCCCAGGACAGAAACAGCCTTTTAGCCAGCTCGAGCTCATTCTCAGATGTGGAAAGTTTACTTTACTCTGGGAGTAATTTCCATTCAGCTCTGGACTAAGCTTAGGTAAGCAACATTTAGAAGATTTTGTCTCGACTTAAAAAAATGTGCTAAATCAAGCGTCAAAATAGTGTCCCATATTTGGATAAAAATATTTCAAAAGACTCTGCATAGACCCTGAATAGTGATATTTGCTATCAATTTAGATGTATTTTAATACATCGAAATTAAAAAAATTCATTATTGGCTCCAAGGCTTGAGGAAATAATAGTAATAATAACAAAAAAGATATCACGATGAGATTCAGTGTTGAATAGTACATGTCTTTTGATTTATTTCCCCTAACCTGTTATTATTGTGAATTGTAAATGATATTTTCTTTCCTTGCATTTAATGTATATATATATTTTCTATATAGTTTTTATGTAGTGTCAGCTCGAAGATATTAGCTTGTTAGCTACTCTAAAATTCGAGTTTAAATAAAGTTTTATGTTATGTTATGTTAACCTTGGATAAGGGGGTGTTTACATGAGAAAACTCACACTGGTGCAAATTTCATACTGGGTTGACTTTTTGATTTTGTATCCCATTTACATGATGACTGGGTCATTTCATATCTTGTTATTTGAAGGTACACTTCATGTCAATAAAATATATGTGTGATTTAAAGTTGCAAACATTACGCATGCGCTACCCATTCCAGTGGACCGGAAAACCGATTTCACACTGAAACGGGTAGCCGTTTTGTGTTTTCATGATACCATTGCGAGATTTCATACTGGAGTGAAATTTTCGCCCCAGTACAATAACTGGGGTGAACTCACGCCAGGGTGACTCACACCGGCAGGACAGTTTGTGGTGGTATCATGTAAACAAATGTAGAGCCATGAGAGGGAACCGAAGTGAACTTGCTCCGGGGCAAAAGTCGCCCCAGTGTCATGTAAACACCCCCTAAAACATTGAATTTCAATATATCGATATTGATCTATTAATATGTACACCCTAATTGCAGGGTATATGCAAAAGGTTTTATCAGTTTTTGAAAGTCTTCCTGTTATAATTATCCGGCAATCCTGATGCATTTTATGGCCTTATCCTGATCCCAAATTCATAGCTTACAGAGGGTACAGATTTGCTTTACTGTAAATGATCTCTTGGCCCCTCATGGTGTTTATTTAATTTTAGTGGTTCAAGTGGGGTGTTAAATTGATAGGAGGTGTTTATAAGAGAGTGGCGTCTATTCTCCAATGTTAGCAAGCTCAACAAAAATAATATGCTGTGGGTGAAAATATCAAGAGAGTTTATAAAAAGCAGAATATCCAGTCCATTTAGTGATATGTCTAGGCCATCTAGAAATCCATACTTCTCTTCCAGATCTCAAATTTGATGTCAGAACATTCAGAGTATTCTTAAAGACCCAGTGGTGGGTGGTCAGAAATGAATAGTAATGCATTCATTTGGTTACAATTTGTACAAAATTAACTGTTTCCCTTGGGACTGCTCATTAATTGTTTTATGTTCCTCTAAGAATACATAGGAAGGTAAAATACAAAAACAGAACAAAATTTTAATCCTGGATTTGCCCTGATCGGCCATTCAGGAACCAGACCTATAGGATTTTTTTTACTCTGGTTAATGCAACAGAAAGGTACTCTTTCGATTCCTTGTTGTCTTAAACCTGTTTGGCAAACCTTCTTTGCCTTCATTTCTATATCTAAGCAGTCTCTTTCTTGTTTGCCCTTAACATGCTAGGCTGGAAATAGCAGCCTCCATGAAGACATCTCTTTTTCGCTGAAATGGTTGCCAGTAACTAGTAAAATGGTAAGGTGCTCATCAGTTTTTCTTTACAAGTCTGTAAGCTGTAAGCTCCTGGTTATGCTTGTGTTCTAACTTAAGGTAATTCCCTTTTTTGCACTGCGCAACATATACTATGCATAACACTGCGATTTGAAAGATGGCCGTGATTTTTATCAGTTGCCTAAAAAGAGGTAACAGAGGTCCCTTTTGTAGTCCAAGTGCTTTTAATAGTGATTTTGATAACTCTACCCAGCTAAATATGTGTTTGTCTTGAAACTCGCCCCAGTCCTTTTGTGCAAAATGATCATTTGAAGCCAAAATTGCCCCTTTGTCCTCTTTTTATGATGAAACAAAAACGGTGACTCCTCTTTTTTCAATTTGTGTTTTTTTCTCATTATAGCTACTCAAAAAATATATCCCTTTAAGGAACTTTGATGTTTCTTTGTCACATGTAAAATTGTGGTGCATCCTGCCAAATTAATAAAACTATCCAAAACAAACCAGTTTAATATCACCGTACCATTATTGGTAAAAATTTGGGGAAATTATTAAATTTTCCTTCAGGAAGACCTTGCCATAAGCTTTGCCTAATAGTTGGGGTGGTAATGCATGCCTGTGGAGGGCTTGAGAAAAATGCCTTAAAGATCCATGACAGAACTTCCAAATGAAACTAAAACAAACTTCTCTTTGGAAAGCTGCAGTTCTGCCTTTTCAGAGTATCAGGAGCTTGTTTATGTGTCAGACATGATGTATTAATCAATTATCTTGCTTCCAGATTTTCTGGAATTTTTGTGTTAATGTTAAAACTAGCTCTCAATGGGCCTATGGCCAAGAATGAGAGTACAATAACTTGTCTGATAGTGAATGAAGTACACTCAATGCATCCAGGACTAAACGGGGCAGCGTCTTTTACTTCTTTACCGTAAGAAATGTTGCAGTGGGTGTATATTTTTAAGATGATGGTGTGTTAAGGTCGTTTGGTCTTTGTTTTTGACAGACCTTTTGCCAATTTGAAGTTTAAGCTTGGCATTAACCAAAATCATCATCAAATAATAGACGTTTATGACATCATGAAGCTGAGCTGAACCCTATATCTCAATGAACTCAAAATAGATAAACTGCTATAAAAGGTAGTGTGATCCAGGCGTTTTGCATATGCCCTCCAGGGGCGTAAAGGACCTTCAATAGACTTTTCGCTCAGTATCTTTTCAAATATTTCACTAAATGGCTGACCTTCAGCCTAAAATCACGCCTAGTTTTTTTAAATCGATTGACTATTAATAGAAAATAAACTGTCCTTTGTTGAACTAAAATTGAAAAGGGAGTTCTACGTGAGAGGAAATATTGTCTAGCGTTTATCACCGAGATAGTAACGTTGTAGGTCCTATCGTTACAGGTGTTGGAAATTTCAAAACTTGTGCTCCTTCTCCCGTGATTTCTGTACATTAGAAGAAGGCATCCATCGTGAATGTCTTTAACTTTAGTTTCCACTCCAAAGCTGTTTGACAAAGATATAAGCTCAAGCATATCTTGTCTAGTTTTTATTGTAACCCATTTATGCAGTTTTTGTTTCGTGGGTCTTTCATGGTAGTTGCCATGGTCACAGATGCATAATCCCAAGGAAACCGTAGTATCCGCACATTTACTGAAATGTCTGTAAATTGTAACGCGGTCGCGCTGAGTCATTTTTATAAACGCAGATCTTTCCTTCATGTTCTGAGAATGTTGAAATTGAACCTCGAAAATTTCATTTCCTGGGCTCACAGTAACGTCCATTGTCGTAAAAAAGTTTCCTCCTTCCGACCTCTGTCGAATTTTAGAGACGTTTTTACCAGTTAGTCGCTGGCAATTACCATAACCTTTAATTTCCTTGCTTCCCCTCAAATATTGCTCTTGGATGTTGTTATTTATATTGCCAACAGCAAACTCTGCTAACCACATAAATCGTTTGTCACCATCCGGGAATCTTTTTTCCCAGCCCTCGCACTTGCATACAGCCAGCGGTTTCATTGACAAATCAGCGCATGTGCGGCTGACAGGGATCAGACCGAATATTCCTTGATCACGTGATCCTGGCACTTCTAAAGACATGAAAGCTTTATGAAGATCTAATGTAGTTATTAGCCGATTTTGATTTTGCACTAATGCTTTCACTGTCTTCAAACCCAAAGCTCGAGCAACCTTCTCCGGCAAAACCATAAAAAGAAAGGGATCATATTTTTCAGCTCTCCCCTCCATTGTATGAAATGAGAATCCTGTTGTTTTCGGGCCATGATCAGAAAGAACAACGGTCAGTGTGTTCTCCATAGAAGCCATTTTCTCTATATATCGCGAAAGGCGTTCATCGATTTGCCTTATGCGAGTTCCACTAACTTCATGACCAGTGTTAAGGTGTGTGTATGTTAGCACTCTTGTGTCTTTCCTCAAGGCCTTCAAATCATCGTAAATGCTTTCAGTATAATCTAAGAAATAATCAGCTAGAGGTTTTCCTGCGTAACAAACTCTCTTTGGATGGTTAAATTGGTTTGTTGTACTGTAACGCTTGAGTACTTCGCAGGAGGCGTGTGATAAACCAAAATCGTCCACATTGTAATGCTTCACCATTTCTCGAAACTCTTGCCAGCGTCTAGCAAATTCAGATTCATTTTGAGGTTTGGAACCCTGATATTTATTGTCAGTAAATAAAGATCCCCAAGAATCGAACCAGCAACTATCTTCTTGCAGTAAAGTATAATAACCAAGCTGCTTAAATTTTCCAAACAGAACATCAATGCCGTACGTTTCGTTTACGTGCCCACCAGAATATCCAAAGTCCGTCTTGCCGGACATCAAAGCTCTAATGTTATGAAACGTGTACGCAGCAGTGCTCTGCATTAGCTCAAAATCAAGAACAGTAGCGTTGTATGAATCATAATGCACGATTTCCCTCAAGGTGGTAACTGTTTTAGGAAGTGAGCGGTAGAAGTGAGGGCGAGACACAGAGTCAAGCAGTATGATGTTGAGGTTAAAGCCTCTAATTGTATCATCAGTGGCTTTGTGGAGATTAAGCGAATGAAACGTGAACAACTGCTCGATAATACCCAGCCGATCCTTTCTGAAACATGCCAGAATGCAGAAATTAAAACCGTGTGAAGGGCTCGCAATTGCGTACCTCTTTAGATAAGTTTCAAGACCTTCGTTAGTGAAGTATCGCTTCCAAAAAGCACGTTCTTCAAGAATCCCGTAAGTAGGACTGAACTCGAGGACGTACACGGGGTGTGTCCCGCAAACTGTTGTATTACATACAACTGTTGCTTCCGTTAGGCTCGATAACGTATTTGTCATTTTGTAAGAGCAAAGCTGTTGGTTCCAGTCATTTTGACTACATTTTACAGGTTCATCTTTGGCACTGTATTCCTTTGATGCCCTGGCGCAAGATGTAGATGGAATCTTCTGTTGAACACAATTTACGTTTTCACTCCACTGCCTTGATTGTCGAATCTGTAGAACTGGGCAAACTGATGGTTTACTGTAATAATTCAGGTCATCCAATGTGTCATTTAATACCATGGATAGTAGACCTGTTTGGGGAACAGGTTTGCTTGTTAACCCAGTAAGCGGTGAAACTGAATGGTTTATCTGATATCCAATTGGGTGGTTAGCCTTATTCTGCTTCAAGTTTTTATTCACAGCTTTAAACACAGTCGGGTAAATATCCACTGGAACAAGTGTTTTTTTCTTGGTTATTTCAAAGTACACACTCTTATTTACTGGTTTGTTTTCTTTCACTGATAGTTCTGTTGTACTAATTTCTTTCTTGTCTGTCCCAGAAATTGTACCAAAACGGCTGGCGGCAGTTGCTCTTGCCCCGCTTACTCCCGTTTGTGATGGAGCTTGCGTGCTCCTGGCTGCCTTTGTTATTCGTATAAGATTTTGTGAACCGTCGTCTGATTTCTGTTTTGAAAAAATGATATCACGATTGATGAATTTTTCAGGCTCGTCTTTTTCATCTTCAACAGTTCTACCTTCGATGTTATCAAAATTTCGATGGCTGAAATCGATAACCGTTCGGGCGGTCTTTACGTCCTCGTTATCATCGTCATTATCTTGGTCGTCATCGTCATCGTCATCGCCATCGTCATCGTCGTGATTATAGCTGCCGCTGTCATCATCTTCCTCATTATGCTTATCAACACTATTCGGTACTACCACAGCTGCCCTGCCTACGCTTTTATCACGGTCATCATTAAATGTCTCTCTTTCCTCTTTCTGAAATGAATTTTGACCCTTTTGACCCGTTCTGAGCGAGGATATATGATTTCTCTTTGTTGGAGATGTCAAGTCTACAAATTCGGTGTCGTTCCCCAGTTGATGATTGGCTATCTTGTTATCTGTAATAAAAATATAAAAGCAAGTAATTCATATGAAAATCCTAAGACAAGGACTATGAGAGAAATAGATATCTACAAGATCACTAGGCGTTATGTGGTGAGGTAACATTCAACTGTCTTACTTTTGTGTAAGAATTCTCTTTTGGGAGCCGTCGTTGCGTACTCTGTCAAGCTAAAGTAATCTTTAACAGTTCCGAGATAGACCACCACAGCAACAGCGATTGCAGCGAGAAAAAACGCCTGCAACAAATAAAGTCACATAAATTAAGAAATGAACCCATAAGCATGCTAAGTAGCTGGCTACGGCATGTTAAAGTGGCAGTGTCATCAAAATAGTACAACTGTTTGTATCAGTAGAAATCCTCTTCAGGGCAGTGCCCAGTCTTGCTTAAATTGCGACCCTAGTTCTTGAAAACATTGATGATAAAAGCCTTTGAAGGAAGCGTATGATTGACGTTATGTCATCAAAAATTTATTGGAAATTGGCATTACATACAAGGAGGATCCCTCTGTAAAAATCAACAGCGAGGCTCCTTTACGCGGCCATACACAAATTATTATAGTCCAAGCTTCTGTTAATGGCTGATTGAAGGTCATGCGGATCCTGTTGTAGCGGCGCTGAACTGGCAGTATGAGGAAAAGGTGGCGGATGACGCGAGCTTGACACTTACGACTTAACAATAACACTGTTTTTGCGGGACAGTGTTAATGATCAGGCTGTGTATAGTTTAGGTTTCATAAAACTGTGCTATATCAGAGTCGGCTAGCCTGCGAGCAAGCTGTCATATTTGAGCGAGCAAAGCGAGCCGCGCGAGCTACCGGCGGAGGCGCGAGAGGCCGAGGAAAGACGGAGGATATGAACACAAGACAACGACCCTCTTTTTCTTTCCCTGAACTTTGATACAGTCCCTTAGAATGCAACTAAAGACAAATTCGCCAACATTTGACCAATTGAACGAGAAGAAATAAAGGTGATGAAGTTTGAAGCAGCTCGAACACACTCAGATTGTAATTGACGTTTTCGTAGCCGTCGCCGTCATTGTTGCCCCTTGTGCTCCTTTAAGGAAACTTTAACTGTATTTCCTTTGTTTATGGCATAAACAAACGAGTCGGCCCATTTCCGTCATTCACCGTTCCTCTTTAGCAAAAAGAGGCTTCACGAAAACACAGCCATTCATGTGAAAATAATTTCACCACATAACAACGGATGCCGTTTTGGCGCCGGGGGTTGAAATAAGTAAAATGTATGAATAAACAATTGCAATTTATTGCATGACTGAATGGTCAAGAGTGAATCAATGTTCCGGCAACCAGCCACCAGTCGAAACGCCAGTGCGTTACGGATATTATCTTTTAGCAGAGACCTTGAAATACTGTTTACTTGTTTTTCCGCTTTGAGATTCAGCAAATTAGTCTTAAAGCTGATTTTTCTCGGTTAGCTAACATACCTTTAAAGGTCCTGTTTTAAGTAAGCTTATTCGTCCTCCTGGAAGGAATATACAAGGCGTGATCGCTATTGTCTAGCGACCAAGGGGTCCTTGTTATTCTATGGCCTACTTGGAGATTTTTTATGGCATGCTGCAGTTTTAATCGAATAGTTCTTGAATTACTCGATCCTTTTTTGCAAGAAGAAAGAGGTTGTACTAAGTATATGAATTCAGTTAAAGGAATACGTCTATTTCCCTGACGAATTTTCTTACGTGTGATTAAATATTAATGAAAGTAAATAGAGTGGTTTAAACAAGCGATCTGCCTTAATCTGCAATAGAACAATGAAAGAACTGAACTGAGGAAATCTTAAAGAACAACATTTATAAATGTCATAACACACTTGAATTAACTCGCTTACTCATCGTGAAGACTCTGTACAAAGTGCTTCGAAAAAAACTGATTTCAATTCCAATTTAATCTCTGTTGAAACGGTGTCTCGGTAAACGGAGTAGGTTAGGCGGAGTCTGGCGGTGGTACATTTATAGTTAGACCCGTTGTCTTAAGCTATCAGTTCTTACACTGACGAAACAAATAACAACGAAAAAACAATCACCTTTCTACTTCGTGTAACAAACAGTCCCATTGCCCCCGAAGCTGTCATTCTCACTCACTCTTGCGGCCGGTAACAACAAACGTAAATTGCAACGCGTTGCCCTTCCTTCTAAGCGCGACCAGTTTAGCAGTATGGAAGTCGAAATCTGCCATTGTTTTCCATTGCGCTAAAATGATTTCGATTTTTCCTCAAATGTTCTGTTGAAAAACTAATTGGTAAATTTGACTAGCTGATTACCGATCAATGTTATGCTGTTAACACCAAGCAGGTACCACCGGCAAAGTCACGTGTTCGTGATTGTCATTCTTGTGAATTCACTCTGAGAACCGGAAGTAAGGAAGATCAAAAGAGTTCTATTCATTCCCTGTAATGATGTTACGGGGTTTTGTTCTAAGTCACGTAAGCTTGAAATATAACTGTTTTCTGTAAGCGGAAGTAAAGGAACGTGTGGTTCTACCGACTTCCTAAAATTACGTTTTAGTTGGGTCAAAAAATCGCTCGTTTTCCCCGATTCGTCGCTCAAAAAAGCCTACTTGTGGGCACGCTGGTGAGCTGCGAGGTTAAGAAAAGCGCAGCGTTGAGAAGAACTAACATTGAAACCTGCTCAACCAGCGTTTTCTATGTTTTTAAAAAAGAAAATTATCATGAAGCCATCATTCGTTAGTCTGGTTTCGTTGACGAACAGCCACATCATCTTGCAAAGCAGGATGACATACCAAATTGAAAGGTTACCTGTTAAAAGGGGACTTTCTGGGCTTTCTGGACTGTTCAGAGTTCAAGATATTATTTTTAGCGATTGTGATAACCAGTGCGAAAGATGCGCGGGGAAGGGGGGGGGTGGGGAGTGCCCCCTTTTCCTAGGTCACGTGCGTCTTATTTCGCTACGCCCCTACCATCTGAGAGCCTGGAACGGGGCAAATTTACCACGACCGACCGATACAGTACAGTCTAACAAGCATACCTAAGCTGGGTTTCACAAGAATCCCTGATGGCCAATCCAATCAAACCTTACGCGAATTGAATCCCAAGGTAAAAAAAGGGTTTTGACAGGCGTAAACATGGCCTGGCAGTTAAGTAGGTCCATGGAGTCTTATAGAAAGTCAAGCAAACGTTGAAGAGCACGTGCGGTATATTTATTACAAATCTAATACACCGAGAAAATAGAATAACTAAGGAGTCTGGTTAGGCATCTGAGTCGATTACAAGTGGCTTCAAAAGATCCATTTTCTTATTTAAGACATTACTAAAGTTATGTCAACGAGATTATATGATAAACGTTCGTTAATGTATAAACTATGGTCAACTACTATATATACTCGATCGTCTGACTAGTATTAGCAATCACCTTTAACTCTGGTGTAAGAAAAGTACATAAAGATCTCGTCGTATAGCAGCATCGAAACAATTAACAACCCTTGTAAATGTTTTGGTGTTGAGCAAGAGTAATTCACGCCTTATGGAATGTCGTCTGCCTTGACCAAAGCAACAACAAAAACAAAACGAAACGACGACAAAACTGTGGAAGGGTTTTTAATTTGGGAAATGTCGAACAAAACTATAAAATGGCAATCTTTTACCACTAACAATCTTGATCACAGTTGTTGAAATGAATGTTGATTGTAAAGACGTTTATGCCAAAGCAAACTGTGCGGAGATCAACGTTTGGGTAGGAGAGGGAGGGAGGAGAGGTTCTCGTGCAACGAGCCTGTATTTTCGGGAAGTGTTTCTACAATTGTGACCGGAAGTGTAGGTGTTATAACAGTGTCGGCCTACTTTTTATCATTAATTGAACTGAGTCGATGTGGTATATGAAATCGCTATCAATGGGAAAAATGGTTTCTTGAAATTAAGAATATTTGTTCAATTGACTAGCTGTGACAAAGGCCTGGCGCTCGAAACGTCCGCTTGCCAATCTGTTTTTCGGTAACCATTTTATTTTTTCAACCCAGTTAATATAACAAAACTGCTCTGGAGCTATTGCCTCACCTACAAATCACTACATATTATTTAGAATCACGATGCAGACATAATTCGCACTGAGACCTGATCAAAATTGATTCTCAAAACAATTGGGATGATCAATAAAGAACTTTTAACGGATCAGAAATAATCGGGGTAGCGTAGGAGCTGGTAGAAAGGTCCCTCCGAATTGGTCGCGGGGAACGATGACCTGTTATTCTTCCAATTTTTTTAGTTTTGTTTGGGGTCAGGGAAACGCACCATTGGTGACTTCTCTTCCAAGCAGCTGCTACATGACAAATAACATGTTACAGCGGAAATTTCAGCTGCTTCTTTTTAACACCGTTTTACCTTGGAGATCAAAATGACTTACTGTTGACTTATTGTTCTATCGCTGAATCACATTACGGAAGTAATATTTTCAAAGATTTAAGTTTGTTCATTTGCTTTTCAGTCACAGCCAAACAATTAAGAATGGCAAAGAATGTCATTAGAGACAGCACGTGACATACGTGTCTACTCGCTCTTAGCTGGTATTTCGAGAATCTTACGCCAGTAGTCAGAAACAAACACCTGATCTGGATCCATTTCCTCGCGAAGCTTTAACCAGTCATCCATCTTAGGGTACACACTTTTAAGATAAGCCAAGTTGAATGTCGTATTTCCATATGTTTTACGGGGATGTGGGAGGTACTTTCCCCAATGCAGACGAGTCCCAGGAATATCCAGTAGAACATCCCAGAAATAGGAGAAGTATTCCCGTTTGTCGCCTTTGTTGTAATGCCACCAGTAGGGATTAACACGCACCATTTTCTGGTTGTATGACATGCTCAGCCAGAATGGAGACTCCTTGGCGCCGTAGATCTCAGTAGCAAAGTTGCCAGCGGCTTTCTGATTCTCAAAGAGCTTGGCGAGTTTGTCCATGACGGTCTGACACTGGTCAAGAGGCATCCAGATCTCTGTGAAATCCACTTTGATAATCGAATCCGTGTGTGCCTCGTTATCCATGGGTAAGGTTTCAAACCAGATGCCACGAAAGGGCTTTGGTTTGTCCAGGGGAACGAATACTCGCAAAATGGCACCGATGATATCATAATCAATGGCTGTTGGGTCTGGCTTTTCGATTAGGAAATTGCAGATTGCTAAGGCTATGGCGGCCATTCCAGCGGCAAGGATGTTGGACAAGATGGAATGGTAAGGAATGATGTCTCCTTTGGAAGTTTGCTTTCCAACCCACTGCTGGACTCGCTGCACTTCCTTCTGTGGGAACCAGTTAACTCGCATGTATTCGTGACTCTCTAGACTCTCCCTCAGCTTACTGTTCCCTTCTTTGTTGGGTCCAATCAGAGACTCATCAAATGGATGATCTGACTCTGTTCCTTCAATAAGCTTCATTTCAGGAAGACGAAATGTCACGTGGGTTATGATGCCGAAGAGTCCCATGGAAACACCAACGGCAGACCAAAGGTCCGTCCCAGGCTTTGCAATCTGCACCTGACCATTCCCGTCCACGAACTCGATCTCTTGGATCACATCAGCAAAGCCATGCTTTAAGCTTCCCCCTGCAGAACCTGTCATGATAAAGCCACCGATTGATTGTTGTATGATGCCTCCTAGCTCTGGAAAGCTAAAACCGTTCTGGTTTACCTGATAGCAGGCTGAATTCTTAAGATCTGAGTGAGGATCCAAAGGATCTCTGCCCAGGTAACAGCCTGCTCCAATGCGACAGTACAGCCATTTCTTGAAAGGTTCTCTTTTCACTTTTAGTATTTCTACTTTTCGTAAATCCCCCGTGAGCAGTAGTGTAACGCCATCTTCAGGGAAAATGGCATCGCGTACAGAATGCTCAGATCCAGCGACACGAAGCACTTTCTTTTCTCTTTTTGCTTTAAGAACAGCTTCGATGACGTCTTCTGTGGAAGACACTGGTTTAGGGACCTGTCGTGATGGTGATACTTGGCTTTTCCTTCCCTCATCTTTAATCATATGGACGAACACAGGCTCTAGTATGCTCCCGCTTTCTGACTGGTCAAGGAAAGGTGTTATGACGTGGTTGAAAAAAGTTTTGGCGTCAGCCTTTCTTTCAGCTGCGTAAAGATCTAAAAACAAAATGTTCATAAAATCAGACATGTTTACAAACCAAACGATCTGAATAATCATTTTACGGATCAATTCAGGTCTCTGGGAAACTGCCCACCTACCCCTCCCCTAATCTAAGATTTTGCCCCAAGTGAGACGCAAATGTTAACTTTGAGTGAGGGGAGGGGTAGGTGGGCAGTTTCCCAGAAACCTAAATTGCCATTTTATAGTGACACCCCGCCTTACGGCCACCTCGTTGATACGGTCACCTCGTTAGTACGGCCAGTTTATTTGGCCCTCGGGAGAAAAGCCATACATTTTCTTGTAAACAAACCCTCGGCCCAATGGTGACCGTGTACGCGGGGTTCCACTGTATTTGCATTTTTCTGAGGATCCTTAAAGGGGATATGCCAGCAGGATATTGCTGCATGTTTTGATTAATTATGTGCTAAAGTAATGACTTAGTACATACATAATTCTTCTGCAGAGTTATGAAAAAGTTATTTAAAAAAAATTAAAAATATTTTTCACACTAAAACGCATAGCATTAAAACTTGTGGCAACGGACGAGAGGAAACAGTTTCGATGCCTAAATACAGTCTACCTGACCTGAATTTTTGGAATTCATTTGATGCAGCAATACATTTTTTGCTTTAGTAATATATGGATTTAGCCAGGGCTAAAAGAGAAGCTCTCGATAATATTTAAAGTTTGTTCAAACAAATATAGAATCTTGTAATGCTAAGCGGCGAAGGCAACGCCGGAGAACAGTGAAAAACAACAATAGGTCTAACTAGCAAAAAAGCAATTGCCGTTGTTTTGCACGACTGGAACGTGAAACTTCCAGAAGCTTCGTAGTTACACTTTTTTTTCACTGCCGCTGATTTTCACCTTACATTGGTAGCCGCTAACATTTGGCATTTTGTCACCGCCGCTACAAAATTTTCATGTTTTTCCAACGAAAAAATCTCTCCTTTGTTTTTTTTCTCGTTGAGCTTCGCTGGCCTGTCGCCTACTTTCTCTTTTTCTCTGTCTTTCTCTTGCTCTATATTCCAAATTTGTGGACATGACAATTAATCTAAGCTTAATACTGTAGACACCAAGGATACAGAAACAATTTCCGCTTTCCGTTTTCGTCTTTATTGACTTTTTAGTTGTCTCTGCTTCACAAGACGCCGGTGGCTATGCGATTTCCCACCAAAATAACCTCGAGTTGCATTTGGGTTGCCATACCTGTTGACTGAGTTATTTTACATTAGTATGCCTGTGGTGCGGGCGGACGGTCGGTCGGTCGGTCCGTCGGGCGGTGTACGGTCACGTGATAACCAAATATTCTAGGATGGGTAGATTTACTTAGCTATGGGGCTTTCCGCGCGCGTGGAGCTCCGCTATAAAAGGAAGGAAACAGCAAATAGCGTAACATACATCTTTTAATTGGCAGGACTTTATCCATCTTCGGATGTAAAACAGGACTTTAACGCACTGCACGCAAACAATTTTTGTCACCTTATTGGCTATTCTTTTTTTCAGACACTTAATCTGGCGAGTGGGCATCAATGAATGAATGAGTGAATGAATGAATGATAACTTTATTTAGACACGGTTAAAAACATCAGTCTAACATAGAAAATTAGTTAGCAATTCTCAAAAACTGTTTTACATATTTGCCGTGTGGGAGTACCGATCAAAAAACTGTCTGTGGGAACTTCTCTCAAAGAGACCTAAATAATTTGATGTACGTATTTCCTCAGGAAGATTGTTCCATAGAAGACCGCCACTGTAACTAAAGCTACGCTTCAGCTCATCAGTTCTTGGTTTTGGGAGCATTAATTTTTTTCTTCGCGTTGCGAAAATAGTAATTCGGTGTTCTTGGGACAAACAAATTACAGAGATAAGCAGGGGCAAGATTATTAATGCACTTGTACATTAAATTAGCCTTTTGTTTAGCCCTTCTAACCGATAAATTGTCCCAACCAAGCGAATTAAGAAGAACTCTGGAACTAGTATCATAGCTAGATTTGGTGATAACTCTGATAGCACGATTTTGAAGTTTTTGAAGTTTCTCACTAAGCTCTTGGGTCAAGCCATCCCATACAGCGCTGCAATAATCGAAGTGTGGCTCGATAAGACCTTTGTATATTTTAATTGCAGTGTGCATTGACCCGCTTAAGAGCGCCGATAACAGGGGATACTTTTTTTGGAGATTTCATGAATGTGGGCCTTCCACGAGAGATTTTCGTCAATGATAAGCCCGAGAGATTTGCTTTGATTGCATTGGTTTTTTGGGACGCCGTTTATATGAATGTTCATTGTGTAGTCATTTAAGGACCGTATTTTCTGCCTCGAGCTAATAACCATAAAGTCTGTTTTGGCGACATTGAGACTTAACTTATTAGCTGTAAGCCCGCGATCAATATATTTCAGGTCACTATTGATTTCGGACTCAAGATCAGGTATAGTAGCTGCAGAAAAGGTAACATTAGTGTCGTGGGCATACATTCTAGGAGAGCCCACATTCAAACAATTTGGTAGATCATTTATATAGATCAAGAAAAATAGAGGACAGATTATTGACCCTTGAGGTATGCCACAATTTAGAGGGCTCGCGCTAGATAGATGAGTGTACGTTACACCTTTGCTTTCGGTTAGCTAGGTAAGATTTAAACCGTTCCAGGGCGTCTTGATCAACGCCATACTTAGTACGTTTTTTTTCATAATTATCTCCTGGTCAGTAGTGTCAAAGGCCGTCTTCAAATCAATAAAGATTACACCATTAAGAAGACCTCTATCAATATTGACACACCAGCTATCGTTTGTCTCCAACAAGGCAGTAAAAGTGCTGTGGAGTGAGCGGAAACCAGACTGGCCGCTGTTTAATAAACCATTTTCATTCAGATATTGATATAGTTGGTCATAGATAATTTTTTTCGAAAATTTTGGCTGCGGTAAGAAGAAGAGATAGGCCGATAGTTGTTTAGGTCAGACTTAGAATCATTCTTAAAAATTGGTGACACTTTAGCCAGTTTCCAGTCAGAGGGGAAAATATCAGTCACTAACGATTGATTAAAGATGCCCGTTAAAGAGGGCGCGACAACATCGGCAGGAATCTTCAGAAGCCTGTTTGGAATTTTAATCCGTTGGAAAGAAAATACTACGTCAACAGGATTAACATAGGCAAGTGGGTCAATTTCTGAACTAGGAATTTCTTGAGCTAGAGATTGGCCTATGTTTGTAAAACGATTGTTAAATGCTTCAGCGATATCACCAGGTGAGGTAAAAACTTGGTTTCCTGTTTTGACTTGAGACACTTTGGTTGATCTACTTTGCCGAGATTGGAGTTCATTAATTAATCGCCAGGTTTTACGAGGATCACTTTTTTTTGCATCAAGGTTTTCAGAAAAGTATTTACATTTAGCTTTCTTCACTTAGTTATTGGCCTTATTTCTTGCATCTTTAAACTGTTTCCAAATCAAAGGGTCATTTGTAGATGCAGCTTTGTTTTTTAGGAAATCTCTTATATGTATTTCACGTAACAGGTCATTAGTAATCCAGGAAGAGCGTTTGTCCCTGGATTACTAATGAACTGTTGCGTGAAATACATAAACCCTTTTTGTTCTGAATAGTGCATGCTTATCAGTAACACTCGCTAAAAGGGGTTTCCAAAAGTCCACATTTTCTCGCAAAAATTCAGCTTCATAGAAATTCTTGAGCTGTCGGTCTTCCACAGTTTTATGCATATCAAGGAGCGAAGATGAGTAACTTTGCGTGTAAGATAAATAGTAGAGTGATCACTTATATCAATATTAATAACACCTGACTTT